GAGCGGCAAGGGGGGGCCCGCCCCCAGGCATGCGGCAGGGGGGGGCCCGCCCCCGGGCACCCTAGTGTCCCTGCCTCCTGGCGCCCGGCGGGCAAACGGCCACGCCCCCTGGCGCCCGACAACCTCAAAAGGTTGGGGACCATTGGCCTAATACATTATAAAAGGTGTATCTTGGGTACAGCCTGGAGAGACACCAGGATGACACCTGGTGGTAGTGATCGTGTTGAGGAATAGAATGACTAACATTGTGTTGCTGCAAGGGATGGTGGAGTGCATGGATGCTCGGACATTCATATTATATTGTCTGTGCTGCCTTTCCTGGATTGAACTGTTTGTGATTTTACAGTGTGTTAATAAACTGTTGTGAACACAATAGGTTTTTCCTCAGTGTGCATTGCTCCTGTGGACGTTGGCCTCTCAGATTAATAGTAGGCCTTCATCAAGAACTTTTGCAAAGCAGCCTACTCATGCCCCATGTGCATGTTCTCAGCTTTATGCCTCAGTACAGCCTCCAGAGCAGACGAGGCCTTTAATTAAACTGTTCTACCCTCTGTACTGAATCTGCCTCCTCAGCACCCACAGAAGGATAATTTTGTGTGGAATGCCTATAGGACAGTAACTCCAAAAAGGAAGAGGTTACCTACCATGAACAGGAACTGTAGATCTTTGAGATGTTTTGTCCCTATGGATGCTCCTGTTCCTTCTGCTTTGGAGGCCTACTATGCTTAGAGATTGAGAAGGAAATGGAGCGGTTGCAGGTCTGCCCTTCCATATTGGGCAAGCATGGAACGGCAGGTATCACTAATGAAAAAATCTTCAGGCAAGAGCAAGTATGGGTGCACGCATACCCTTATGTGGCACTTCCATAGGGAGCAAATACTTTCAAGAACTCCAGTAATGGTTCCATGGAAGTAAACTTCTCTTTCACATGGCACTTACAGCTCCTTCCTGAGATAGGGCCCCTTCTCTTGGAATTGTCCAGATTCCTGGGTTGGACTGAAGTGTGCTGGTTCAGATAATACGAACATTGTTCCCTCCTCTTGACTTAGATACTGCCTCTCCCCCCCCACCCCCTCCCCAAATCCCTGTACTGCTTCTGGCTTGCAGTCTGACGTTTCCTTTTCAGGAGACTGAAGAGCCTACAGTGGAGTGCCAGGAATGTGAGACAGACCTCTCCCCCTCCCGAACGACAGGGGGCTCATCACTGACCTCCGGGGACCTCGGGGACATCAGCTCCTTTTCATCCAAGGCCTCCAGTCTCCATCGCACATCGAGTGGCACCAGTAGTGGTCTATCAGCTACACATGGTGGCAGTAGCTCAGGGAGGGGAGCAGGATCTTTCAAAGGGAAAGTCGGTGGAATGGAAGCTGGAGAATTTGCCTTACCCAGTGGCAGAGGACTGCTAGGAAAACTGAGGTGTGTGTATATAATGCCTCGGAGACAGGAAGGCAGGTACTTCTTGGGGATGGAGTTGATGAGCTGCTATGTATCATGAAGACAAGTGGATGGTGACTGTCAGAAGGATGGGGTATTGCATACATTTTGTGGGAGGGACCTGATTTGATGAAGGGAAAGCCTTCTGTTCTCTTTTTCCCCTAACCCCCTCCTTTCTTCCTAAAAGGACAGGAATTCTCTCTCCTTGGTTCAGTGCTTCCAATAGGCTTCATGACACACTGCCAGCAAGGTGGCTGTCAGGCAGACTTTTCTCACTAGAAATTGGGGATCATGTTGAAATTGGAGGGAGTGGATTTGTTGATGGCTTCTTCCAGGACACTGAAATTATCTCCCTTAATTCCTAGCCCTAGAAAAGGGGCTGGCCAGCCAGGGTCACCTCTAAGAGCCAGTCACATAGGAGCAATGGCATTCGAGGAAGATGAAGATGTAGCACTTGGCATCCGACAGGGTGGGAAAGTACTACTTACACCTCGTGGGCGAGGGAGAAGAGGCCGCCCACCATCTCGAACAACTGGAACAAGGTAAAGTTGGATAGAACCGAGTGTGTGTCTCTTTTAAATGAGCAAATAGTGAATAGGGATCAGGTGGCTGCATATGATGGGAGGAGAGGGTGAGAAGGGCCTCAGTGTGGAAATGCAGAGATAGCAGAGAGAGGTGGTTGTGCAAGTACCCTGCTTGGGAAAGCTTCCTTTGAGACACAATAGTTGCTTTCTCTGCTCTCCCTGGAGCCCACCTCTTTTTCTGCCTTTCCCAGGGATGCAGCTGGGAGTGGCATGGCAGCTGTGGAAGATCTCTCAGCCACAGCATCACCCGAGGAGAAACCCTTTGTGCGCATTGTGGTTCAACCACCAGATGGTGGGGACAGATTTGATGCTGCCGGCCCTTGCACCTTGCGACGAAGTGACTCTCCGGAAATTCCCTTGCAGACGGTGGCTGGTCCCTCTGACAGCGCAGACTTATCCTCTGGGAACAGCTTTGTGGGCCTGCGAGTTGTAGCCAAGTGGTCCTCAAATGGCTACTTTTATTCTGGGACGATCACCCAGGATGTTGGGGCAGGGAAGTACAAGCTGCTTTTTGATGATGGATATGAGTGTGATGTCTTAGGCAAAGATATTTTACTCTGCGATCCCATTCCCCTGGAAACTGAGGTGACTGCGCTCTCTGAGGATGAGTATTTCAGTGCAGGTAACAGCTGGGCTGCTGCAGCTCAACCCTTCACTTCCTCTCTGGGCTGAAGAAGGCCAGTGGTCTCTAGGTCACTGAATCCTGTAGAAGTTGTCTGCTGGGAAGCGGGTGCCTGGCTGTGGGGTAGGGTCAGGAGTCAAAGATCTTGTCAGTAAACAGTTTACTTTGCTGTCTTCCCAGGTGTGGTGAAGGGACACAGGAAGGAATCTGGAGAGCTGTATTACTGTATTGAAAAGGAAGGCCAAAGGAAATGGTACAAGCGTATGGCAGTAATCCTGTCCTTGGAGCAAGGAAACAAGCTTCGGGAGCAGTATGGGCTGAGTCCCTATGAACCAGTCACACCCCTGACTAAGGCAGCTGACATCAGCCTGGGTAAGAGGGGACTGAATTGAGCTGTTGGGAGTCCCTCTAACTGCGTCCAGATCATGTGATACTCCAGGTCTGAACTCAGTGTGTGATTCTAATGGCCATGCACAGACGTTGCTAATCATATTATGTCTATTGGCAGCCTTGAGAGGCATTGCATGCTATCCATTAGAGTTCAGTGGGAACTGGCTCTCGACAGGCCCTGATTATTAAGCATGGATCATGCCTCTGCTCCTGCTTTCTAGTGCTGTTTTGACAGCACGGTGCAAGACTGCTGCTGCACAGGTATGATTCACCTGGAAAAAAGGAGAGAGGGAGGTGAATAGAAGGCAGGGAGCTGCAGTAACATCCATAGTACTTGCCAGGCTCAGTGAAGGGATGCCTTTATGGCAGTCCTGTGAAAGCAGGTAGGAAGAAGGGAGTCTCATGGGAAGTGAATGAAGACATGAGATACAGGAAAGATGATTTTCTCCCCTGGGCCTGGTGATGGTGTGTAAGCTCAGTGTGCTCCGCTTATGAAGCTGTTTGTGTCACTGGGGTGGGTGATGCTTATGAGAGGGAGCAGGAAACTGATGACTTAACACTGGTTTACCATGGTTTAGATAACTTGGTGGAGGGGAAGCGGAAGCGGCGCAGTAACTTTGACTCACCTAGCACTTCCAGCAGCAGCACTACACCCACTCGCAAGGGACTGGAGAGTCCACGTGTCACCCCAGGTCTTCTGTCTGGGAAGAGGAAGTTAGTTTCCTCTGAAGATGAGAGATCCCCAGCCAAACGAGGACGCAAGTCTACAGCAATGAAACCAGGTAAGAGCCTTCCCCACTGCTCTAAAACTCAGGAACAGTAGGATTCTCTTCCTCCTGTGGAAGTAGATTTTTCCCTTTTCTCCTGAGCAAATGTGTAGAACCTCCTTCCCATCCACCTGTGTTTGAGGCTGTGCTTCTCTCTGGATGTGTACCATGACTTGAGGTTCTTTTACCCTGGACTTGAAGGATTAAAAATAGGCTGCAATGTGTCCTAAGTCCCACCCAGACCAGACGTGCTTTGCAGGGCATTGCTCTGATGTCAGAGATGTGATCAGCCTTCCCATTTCTTGTATGTTTTGAGCAGCACTAAAATACGTGACAATAAATTGCCAATGTCAGAGTTCAGAGTCAACAGTCATGGAGACTCATGGGACATCTGTCCGTTGTCTGAGCTATTTTTTCAGGCAGTCTGTACGTTCCGGTAGACATTAGTGTGACGTACACTCCAGTTACATTTTGAAGATTCTTTTCAACCATGAGGGA